CCTGTGGCAGCCAGCGCCTGTGCTGTCGTGTCCCCGAGCGGAAGTTCAACTATGGGGATTAAACTGAGCGCGAAACGGTCCTCGATCCCGTCTCGTGTAACCGAGAACTTCTGAGGTCCCGACGTGGTCGGTCGGGTGTTTCCTGCTGTCCCACTGGCACCGGTCTCCTGCTGTCCCTGGCTGTACTAGTCCAGGTGACTTCCGGAGTTGCAGGGGACGATTCGTCCCGAGGTAGAAATGCAGTCGCCCGCTCGGGAAGGGGAGTGGGGCGGTGCGGCCAGGGGGAAGCCGGCCCGGAGACCTCAGGACTGCAGGGAAGGCTCTGGGGAGGAGCTTCTTGTCACTGATCACAGTAATATTTGCAAGTGCCATCTTCCAGGTGGGCTCCTGTTGCCACAATAGGTGAGTTTCCCACTTGCCAGCAGTGCCTGGTAACTTCAGGAACTTCGCCTTGATGGGTCCGCGCTGGCTTGGAGTGAAGGAACCGAGCTCAGTCCTTGAGGGTTTCCCGTGCTTGTGGTCAGCCCCCTGTGGCCAGCACGGATAACCTGGAAACAGCACGAGCTGTTGATGGAACAGTTCTCAGGGCTTTGCCTTGGATCTGCAGAAGCAGAAAATGGTTGGACCATGTTGCGTTTCCCTCGCAGAGAGGCGGCTGTGCAGTGCGGGTTTGCTCTCCCTGGCTGCTGAGTTACTCTTGTTGTCCGGCGTAGGGTACCAGCTTTGCGAGCACCGGCCACTTGCCGGTACAGTGCCTTCTCGAAGGTAGCAAAACACATTTGTGCAATTAGAGCTGCTGGTCTCTACCAAGACTTTGTGGGTTTGGCCTAGAAAATTAAATTCTTGTGCATTTATTAATAGTATCCTTTCACCTGCCTTTGTCAGTTTCTTATCTTAGAAACCATCTGTGTTAGTGTTGGGCTGTCTATGTAACAAACCTTGAAAGAGAAAGTTATGCCGTACCATTGGCAGTAGGGAAGGTGTCCAAACGACTGAATGAGGTCCTGCAGTTGTTTTCTTAGAGGTCCAAAGACGCTTTCTAGCCCAGGAAGGCATTTTGCACTTAAAGAGCTTAGTTAGATTAGTAGATCCAGTTTTACATAAGAATTTTATTCAGTACAACATGCATCCACAGTCATTATCTTTCTTCGTCCCAAATAGGTTCTCAAATAACTTAATGAACAATTATTACCATCACCAAGCTAATAGCTATAACTTTTCTAGTGGCCACACACCCCCCTGAGAGCAATGAAATGTTCATTTCTGTCCCAGAGAAATTAAGTGCTCAAGTTAGATTGATTTCTTCTCCCCCACACCTGTGTAAGCCCTTTGGATTTTGCTGGATACAGAGGTCCAGCAGGTACTCAGGTGTCCCAGAGCACCTGGGCCTTGGGGTGAAAGCTGCAGCTCCTGTGGGTCCTCGGGGCGAGCCGGAGGAGCCCTTCTGCCACTACATTCGGAGTGGTGCTGGGTGCGATGTGCACATGGTGGTTTTTTGGAATCAGAGTGGGTTGCGATTTTGTTTTTCACCGTTCATAGTCGGTTCATATAGGTTATAGCTGCTCTCTGACTCAACAGGCAGCTGAGCTTCGAGCCTACCTGAAATCCAAAGGAGCAGAGATCTCAGAGGAGAACTCCGAGGGGGGGCTGCATGTCGACCTGGCTCAGATCATCGAGGCCTGTGATGTGTGTCTGAAGGAGGACGACAAAGGTTGGAACTTTCTCTGACTTTTCTTGCTCATCATAAAAGAACCTACACCTAGAATTTTCATGTAAACTATATTTGTATATTTCATATTTCAGATTTAGAACATCTAAGCTCTGTTTTTAGTAGCATGTTTGACTGTGCTCTCACTTTATGGAATCTGTACTCCTAGAAGTCCGCGCACACCGAGCAAGGCTGCTCCCTCTCAGGTGTGCTTCTGCTGAGTGCAGACCTTCCCTGTTCGTGGACTTGACTGAATTAGCCAAGTGGGAGGCGATTTCGAGAATGTAAAAGCCATTCAATTGTTAGGTCGAGTCCCTGTTTTCTGAAATAAAATGAGAAATTTTGAAACCGAGAGTCCTAAATCTTAGTTACAGTGTAAATGTTAAACTTGGTGTAGGATTAATGTCTGTAATATTCGAGAAAGAGTGACTGAATCAGAGTTGACAGCTTTCACTTCTGAATAATTTCCCGTTCGTAGTGCAGTTTCCTCAATTAAGAAAGCACCCTAGCCTGAAGCTAGCAATTCTAAACGATGAAATACTCTCCAGTAAAGATGGGGAGCCTGTGTCCACACCTGCACGCCCACGTGTCTCTGCCCTGGGTCGCGGCCAGAGCCCACATCTTCGACAGCACTCCTTCCTCCTAGCGTGTGGAGTCACTTTGGGAGGCCGGCACATAGCAGGCTGCTCTGGCGTGGACAGGCGTGTGCTGTCTGTGCTCTCCATCCGAGGAGAGGTGGCCACTGGGGCTGGCCCTGGTCCGTGAGCAGCGGCCGCTGTTGGACGGCGGCCCGCTGACGTGTTGGTACTTGCAGATGTGGAGAGCGTGATGAACAGCGTGGTGTCCCTCCTTCTCATCCTGGAGCCGGACAAGCAGGAAGCGCTGATCGAAAGCCTGTGTGAAAAGCTGGTCAAGTTTCGGGAAGGTGAACGCCCGTCCCTGAGGCTGCAGCTGTAAGTGCAGGCGAAGAAGCCCGTCCCCACGCTGTCCTGGCCGCTCCTGCGTCAGCTCCCTTACTCATTACAGGCGGGAGTTCTGCAACGGACTGTTCTGTCCTCAGTCCCCTCGTTGTCATGCGAGGGTGGTGGTCTGCCCAGGGGTGAGAACAGACACTCAGCCCAGTACGGGTTGCCGACCTTGAATCTTTTTTTCTTTTTGTTTTTATTGGAGAGGTTTTCGCTATAGGGCACATGCGCTCACCAGACAGAGAGAGACATAGAGACAGAAAGCGAAAAATCACCCCCCAGGGGGGATGGTCACGCTGCAATCCCTTCTCCTCCATTCTCCTCTCAGGATCTTGGGCACGCACGCACACACGCCCAGCGTGAGTTTTAAGCCACCGGGTCTGGGATGCGAGCCGCGGTCGACTATGTGGGAGTCCAGAGACATAGCCATTACGCTAACTGCTGGTTCCTCTGACCTTGAATCTTGAACCTCGAACTTGGCCTTTCCATTTGTCTGTCTGCCAGGCTGAGCAACCTTTTCCACGGGATGGACAAGAACACGCCTGTGAGGTGCACCGTGTATTGCAGCCTCGTCAAGGTGGCCGCTGCGTGTGGGGCCATCCAGTACATCCCAGCAGAGCTGGAGCGGGTGAGTGCGCTGCCCTGATCGGTCTGGGAGGTGCGTCCTGGTTCCCCGAGACCCGCCGCAGACACCAGCTCTCAATTCGCCAGCTCTGCACTGACCGCCTCCTGTTGGTCTCCCCGCAGGTAAGAAAGTGGATTTCCGACTGGAACCTCAACACTGAGAAAAAGCACACCCTGCTGAGGCTGCTTTACGAGGCCCTCGTGGACTGTAAGAAAAGGTACTGGGCTGCAGTGAGCTCCCGGGTGGGCAGTCTGAGGCCGGCGGGGTGTTTTCTGAAGACAAGGAGGATGCTCGTTTCACTCTGCTCTCTGCAGAGCCGCTGTGAATCTGTGTTTCTGGTTCTGCTAGGTTAAAGACAAGTGCAACAATTAGACACAAAGCTTGCTTTTGTTCTTGAAATGGTGCAGTTGCTAATCCCTGGGTGTCCGCAACTCCAGATTGTACTCACTGAGCACTGGTGGGCTTTGCAGGGTCGCAGGCCTCTCAGGCTCCTATTTAACCTCAAAACTTTACGCCCGAACTATTAATCTTCTGTCTACCCCATTCAGGGTACCTCCCAAATGATAGGTTTGGCCTGGTTTATAGAGTTAGCATCGCTTTTGTTTCGTGAAGGCTATCTTCTTTTGAACTAACTTTTCGATTTCTCTTTTCACATAGGGGCTAAGTACTTCTAGAGAAAGTAACCATTGTCCAGTTTAGTTTACTTGCTCAAATTTTTCCTGGCTTTTGATGCTAGAGTTTTTCAGTGTATTAGAGAAAATCAGCAAGATTAATGTGTCTCTCTCCTTTTTTAACTTTTGCTGGAGTCCATGTGCAAGAGAGGAGAAAGTGAGAAGGCTCCTCCAGGGCAGTGGCCACACCACAGTCCTTCCTCCATTCTTTTCTCGGGATTTTTGACACCACACCTGATGGTTTTTTAAGTTGTTGGGTTCAGGACCCACACCACGCCTCTGGCCATGTGGGATCTAGCCACCCTAACCTCCATGCCATCTGCTGGGCTTCTGTTACAGTAAGTAGTAACTTGTCACATTTCTGCTGTGAGCGTCGAATGTCCTCTTACCTTTGTGAGCAGTTTCATTTGAAGCGGTGACCACAGTGTGCTGCATGCAAGGGACAGTATTCCTGCCAGCTGTCAGGGAGGTGTTGAGAGTGAGTAGCGTAGGACAAGGACCATCTCAAGTGAAGGATATAAACCGTCAAAAAGAGGGACCAGCAGATGGCTTAATACTTATGTTATTGGGCTCCCACATAGTCCATTGTGGTTTGAGTCCCAGACCTGGCAGCTTAAACTCATGCCAGGTGTGTGTGCACCCAAAATCCTGAGCGGAGACTGGAGGAGAAGGGACTGTGGCGTGGACATCCCCCCGGAGGATGATTTCTCACTTTCTGTCTGTCTGATGAGCACACATGCTCTATAGCAGTTATCTAAGAAAAAAGAAAAGGGAAAACCTGCTGGAGAGAGAATCCGTGTTTTACTCCACATTGTAAATGTGCATTCCGACTGCGGGGTCGGGTCTGGGTTTGCCCCAGTGTGACCCCATGTAAGCCACTTCACAAGTCTGCCTGGCCTTGCAGCTCTGAGGGTAGACCGTCCTGCCCAGGGTAGTAGGACAGACGCAGGATCAGCTCACGTGGCGTTCTTGGGATGGGCTTCATGGGTGCGAGAACTCCGGGTCGTCGCTGAGTGAAGCGTCTGTCCCTGTTCTTTCTGTTTTGCCAGTACCCCCTGAGGGTGTTAGACATCATATACCTACCTCAAACCCCACTCCCCTCAAAAATAATTAACCTACTTGATTCAACTTCTGTAACTGCTTTTGCATAAAAATCCTGTACACCTGATGATCGACCCCAGGAGAGGCTGCCCCAAACTTGGGCTGGGGCTGCAGTGCTGCCTCTCGGCCCTGAGCCTCAGGCTGTAGTTGCTGATCTGCTAGTAAAGACTCCCTCCAGCTTTAACCTGGCTTTAGTGGTTGGTCATTCAGTGACACTACAACGTTGGGACTCCAGCAACATAGCCATTACACCAACTGCTGGTCCCTTGGGTCCTGTATTTTTAACGACACACGCAGTCAGTAGGCACTGCAGCCCTCGGCGTCTGGTCTCAGCCTGCGTGGGGACCGCTTCCTTCACGGGCCCTCCTCTGGGCTGGGGACACCATTGCCCTGGTGTTTGCCAGCGTCTTCGGCTCTTCCATGTCAGATACCTGGAAGTTACTCGTCTGTAGCTGCTGTAGTGCTGTTGTTAACTCGGTCTGGGTCCAGGCCCTTCATTCTCCTCCACCTCCCCTCCCCACCTCCCCTCCTCCCCCCGCCCGCTCCCACCATGGGTGACCCGGGCTCTCTGAGCCTCAGCCCTATGTTCAGCTACTCTCTTGCAAGGCCCCACAGGTACCTCTGACTCCACGTGCCCAAACCGAGTTGACCGTGCTCTCCGTCCGTTGTAAGTCCCTGTGCTCCTTGTCAGTGAAGGCAGGAACCCTTCCCGAGTGGGCACCATGGGGACACCGTAGGCTCCCTCTGTTCGCTGTCCCCTTTAGCAAGCAGCCGGCCTGGCCGTCACTGCCTCCTCGGTGACTGAGCGTCATTGGCATTATTTTTATAGGTCTTTTCAGTGATCTCTGTGTCACTCACTGCAAAAACCTCCTTCCCCTGGAATTTTAGCGTACATTCTTTAGGCTTTTATTTTCTTCGGAACGCAGGATTCGTGTGGCGCGTAGTGCTCCTTCAGCACGGCGGCGTGTGGAGGTCGGTGTGCGCGGGGCACGCACTCGGGGAGCTACAGGTCTGCGGTGGCCCTGCTTCATGGACATGGCCATCTCCCTGCCTCACGCACCCACGTGCCCCTTCCCAGGCAGCCCGTTGTCACTCACTGCACAGGAGCACGTCCTGCCCAGGCCGGCCAGGCTGGCACCTGATTCTGCCCGGCCCACGGCGTAGAGGGTTCTCATGTCCAGGGACGGCTGAGAACAATATTAGGAGAGGTGTGCAGCACCCCTGAGGACACTGGGGTTGGAGCTGCCGGTGGGGACAGAGGCAACGGCGTTCCACTGGGTGCAGGCCTACCCGCTGGTCCAAGTGCTCCGGCCAGCCTTTCCCCACCTACTCTCCTGCTTGGGACTCGGGTTGGGAGGTGACCTGGCCCTGAAGGGACACTGCTCTGCGTTGACCGCCTGCTCCTGGCGTGTTGGTGCCGGCGTGGACCCTGGGCAGGCGGTGCTGGGCGACGGAGCCTCGTCCTGTGGGCCCAGGGTGGCGGCTGCTCCAAGCAGGGAGCCGGTAGGGAGTGTAGAGTACTGCTAATTTTTTTTTAAAGAGGTTTTGGCTATAGGGCACATGCGCTCGCCAGACATACAGAGACAGAGAGACAGAAAACGAGAAATCACCCCCCAGGGGGAATGGCCACGCTGTAATCCCTTCTCCTCCATTCTCCTCTCGGGATCTTGGGCACGCACGCACACGTGCCTGGCGTGAGTTTTAAGCCACTGGGTCCGGGACACAAACCACGGTCTACTACGTGGGAGTCCAGCAACATAGCCATTACGCTAACTGCTGGTCCCAGAGTACTGCTAACTTTTAAAAATAAGTGATATAATTGCTACTTTTTTCCTCCTAAGGTTTTTGCCTTAGGGCGTGTGTGCTCGCCAGAAAGACACAGACACAGTGAGAGAGAAAGTGAGAAATCACTCCTGGCGGCATTGGAATGCACGTACAAACGTCTAGCGTGATTTTCAAGCCACCGGATCCAGGGCTCGAACTGTAGTTGGCCATGTGGGAATCCAGTGTGTAACCGCTAAACCATTTGCTGGACTAATTGATAATGATTTTACCTCGGTTGAAGTAAACATGTGGGGCAAAATGTTTCTAGAAAACAAGTGAAGGAAAACTCCATTTCTCATAGTTAGCAAAGCTTTCTGTAACTGATGATCAGTCAATTTAAAGGAAGGGTGAAGAAAAATTTTTCTAAGAGTCCAGATCAAATGAATTTATTTATTCATTTTAGTTTTCACACTGCACCAGAAATTGACTACATTAATAATTTTTTGGGAGCAACTTTTGCTGTAGCGTACTCCATTCTTTCTTGGGGTTTGGGCATGGATGCAGAGGCACCCAGGACTTGAATCACGGTCAGCTGTGCGGGAATCCAGTGACATAACTATTATGCCATCTGCTGGTCCTAGTCACATCCGTAACTGAAAGGTTAGCTTCGTTGGAAGGAATCTTGGGACCAGCAGATGGCATGGTGATTACATTGCAGGACTCCCACATGGTCGACTGCAATTTGAGTCCCAGACCCAGAGGCTTGAAACTCAAGCCAGGCACCTGTGTGTGTGTGTGTGTGTGTGTGTGTGTGTGTGTGTGTGTGTGTGTCTAAAATCCTAAGAGGAGAATGGGTGGCCATCCCTCCAGAGGTGGCTTCTCGCTGTCTTTCTAGAAAGTACCACCAGCTCCCTTCACGGCCCAGAAGAAGTGCCAGGAGGTACTTCTCAGCGGGCAGGTCTCTGCGTACACCTGGTCTGTTCAGAGACTTCCCTGTCTCCTCTGTCTGAAGTAGCCTTGTTCTCACCTTCGTCATTTCAGTGCCTCACTTTTATTCCCTTCCTCGTCAGTTGTTTTTCCTTCATCTTCCCTACCAGAAGAAAAACCCATGACGTTGCCTGGAGGCGGGGACCATGTCTGCCTTGGTCACCATCATCTGCAGCATGGTGCCTGGCACTTAACGCATTTTTAACTGAGGGGCCAGCTGGTGGCATGGTGGTTAATGGGTGAAAGTCGAGTTCCTAAAGTACTGTTTCTTTTTAGTGATGCTGCCTCAAAAGTCATGGTGGAGTTGCTTGGAAGTTACACGGAGGACAATGCTTCCCAGGCACGGGTGGATGCCCACAGGTAACAAGGACCACTACTAAGGAGGGCTTCTCGGCAACCAGGGTGGCCGCCAGCCCGTTACCCAACTCCAGACGTTTGCATCTGCCAGTGAGCCACGCCATTTGAACCATGTGTTCCTTGGCGATTCTAATGTAGGTGCTAAATACTGAATTCAGGATTTGGTGTTGGAAGAACCATAGATTGCATGAAAAATAGCGACGATGCACTGTTGCTGGAACTGGCATAGAAATCCCAGTCTAGGGGTGAGCAGGTGACATAGTGGTTAGGGGGTGGACTCCTACATGGCTGACTGCAGTTCAAGTTCCAGACAGAAAATCACGCCTGGTGGTGTGTGTCCAAAATCCCAGGAGGAGGATTGCGGTGTGGCCGTTCCCCCTGCCCTAGGAGGTGATTTCTCACTTTCCTGCTCACTCTCCAGTGAGTGCATGCGCCCTATGGCAAAAACCTTTAAAAAACAAAAACAATAAAACCCAATATAATAATTAGAACTTAGCCTTGGGTCATTTTATCTAACAGAAAGCATGTAGATGGGGGAAAGTTGGCAGCTTACTAAAAATTAGCCCACTGCTAAATGAAAAGGCCTTTAAACAGCTCTAGATGTAACTAGAGCCGTAAGTCCATGAGACAGTGATTGTGAACCTTCTTTGTGGGTTGCTGCGTCTGCAGACCCCTGCGTTAAGAAATTGGGGAAAGGTTGTTAGTGGCAGTGAGGCGGACAGCCTGTGCTCAGACCTCACCCACCTCAGCACAGTTACTTTTCCTGTCAGAGCCATCCCTCACTGATAAAGTGGGCACAACGGTACTGTGTCCCACGTTGTAGCCATGCGTGAGGTGTGTGTGCCAGCACTCCAGGTGTGCACAGGGAGGCACCGCCCCTCGGTCACTGCTCTTGGGCACGTTCCTGTTTACAACCATCTCATTTCATTTTGTTAAGACTGATACACCCGATATGCAACCAGTATCTTTTGTTACGATGTGTATGTTAGATAGATATTTTACGGATTGAATACATGTCGTGTTCTGTAAAGAGTGAAAGGATTTGAAGCCTCTGAGCTTGCATTTTTGTTTCCTACTTAAGGTGCATCGTGCGAGCACTGAAAGATCCAAATGCGTTTCTTTTTGACCATCTTCTTACTTTAAAGCCAGTCAAGTTTTTGGAAGGCGAGCTCATTCATGATGTAAGTCGTCGCTCCTGAACCGTGAGAATGTGCTCTTTCGTCGGTCTTGCATCCTGAAGCCCCGCTCTGTTCTTTGCATTAATGCATGTGATATTGGAGCTGTCTGGCGAGATGGGAACTGGGCGCTCTTTTTGTATTGGGAAGAGACTGGCCCGTGGCTCTTCCTGTCATCCCCTCGCTTGCCTGGCCATTGTGGACATAGATCATACGAAGCCCTTTTCATTACTTCCTGCCACTAATGCCAGTGAAGATAAATCTGATATTTAGACGCACAGACACTTTCCAGGTGCAAGCATAAATATATTTGGGGTAACTTTCCATTTGGACAGCACCGCTCACGACTCTGGTGTTCACTGGTGGTTCTTTCTCCAGGTGTGCCACATGGGAACGCCAGTGGGTAGTGATTTGCCACAGCAGGTGGTATTTCTGTACTGAACGAGTTGTAGGCGTCAGTTTCTCAGAAATATCTTGAAGTTAACTCTTGATTTTTGCACTGATGGCTTCTTTTTTCATCCCTTACCTGTGTAGCTCCTAACCATTTTTGTGAGTGCTAAATTGGCATCGTATGTCAAGTTTTACCAGAATAATAAAGACTTCATTGATTCACTTGGTAAGTTTTGGGAGCTGCTCTCTGAGGAATGGGGGACATGTCACTCCAGAACAGTAACAGTTACGCATCACGAGGTCCAGCAGGTACAGTGTGGCTTCATTGTAAATGATCCCAACGTGCGTGTAGATCAATGCCCCCACACTGGGCTGGCGGTTTAAACGAGGACTCCATCCTCATGAGGGTGGCCCCAGAGCACAGTGGTCAGGTGCTGTGTATGGGGAGCAGCCAGGGCACAAAAGTATGATGCCCCCGATCCTGACGGGATGGAGATGGAGGAAGAGGGACTGCAGCCTGGCCACACCCTGTTGGCGGCGCCTCCTCTCTCTCTCTCTCTTACCCACGTGCCCTCTGACAACTGAAAAGAGCACACGGGAATGGCTGCTGGGGCAGGAAGCAGCACTTGTGGCAGCATGCAAGTCCATTTTTAAAATTCGGGGATGGGATGAGAATCACCGTTATTTTGAAATAATGGCGACTTAGAAGTCATCGTGGTTGTTTGAGAGAGAGATTTTTGCTATAGGGCGCACGTACTATTACGATGTGTATGTTAGATATTTTACGGATTGAATACATGTCGTGTTCTGTAAAGAGTGAAAGGATTTGAAGCCTCTGAGCTTGCATTTTTGTTTCCTACTTAAGGTGCATCGTGCGAGCACTGAAAGATCCAAATGCGTTTCTTTTTGACCATCTTCTTACTTTAAAGCCAGTCAAGTTTTTGGAAGGCGAGCTCATTCATGATGTAAGTCGTCGCTCCTGAACCGTGAGAATGTGCTCTTTCGTCGGTCTTGCATCCTGAAGCCCCGCTCTGTTCTTTGCATTAATGCATGTGATATTGGAGCTGTCTGGCGAGATGGGAACTGGGCGCTCTTTTTGTATTGGGAAGAGACTGGCCCGTGGCTCTTCCTGTCATCCCCTCGCTTGCCTGGCCATTGTGGACATAGATCATACGAAGCCCTTTTCATTACTTCCTGCCACTAATGCCAGTGAAGATAAATCTGATATTTAGACGCACAGACACTTTCCAGGTGCAAGCATAAATATATTTGGGGTAACTTTCCATTTGGACAGCACCGCTCACGACTCTGGTGTTCACTGGTGGTTCTTTCTCCAGGTGTGCCACATGGGAACGCCAGTGGGTAGTGATTTGCCACAGCAGGTGGTATTTCTGTACTGAACGAGTTGTAGGCGTCAGTTTCTCAGAAATATCTTGAAGTTAACTCTTGATTTTTGCACTGATGGCTTCTTTTTTCATCCCTTACCTGTGTAGCTCCTAACCATTTTTGTGAGTGCTAAATTGGCATCGTATGTCAAGTTTTACCAGAATAATAAAGACTTCATTGATTCACTTGGTAAGTTTTGGGAGCTGCTCTCTGAGGAATGGGGGACATGTCACTCCAGAACAGTAACAGTTACGCATCACGAGGTCCAGCAGGTACAGTGTGGCTTCATTGTAAATGATCCCAACGTGCGTGTAGATCAATGCCCCCACACTGGGCTGGCGGTTTAAACGAGGACTCCATCCTCATGAGGGTGGCCCCAGAGCACAGTGGTCAGGTGCTGTGTATGGGGAGCAGCCAGGGCACAAAAGTATGATGCCCCCGATCCTGACGGGATGGAGATGGAGGAAGAGGGACTGCAGCCTGGCCACACCCTGTTGGCGGCGCCTCCTCTCTCTCTCTCTCTTACCCACGTGCCCTCTGACAACTGAAAAGAGCACACGGGAATGGCTGCTGGGGCAGGAAGCAGCACTTGTGGCAGCATGCAAGTCCATTTTTAAAATTCGGGGATGGGATGAGAATCACCGTTATTTTGAAATAATGGCGACTTAGAAGTCATCGTGGTTGTTTGAGAGAGAGATTTTTGCTATAGGGCGCACGTACTAGCCAGAGAGACAGAAAGTGAGGAATCACCCCCGGGGGAATGGCCACACTGCAATCCCTTTTTCTCTGTTTTCCTCTTGGGATTTTTGGGCACGCACACTCACGCGCCCGGACACGGGTTTCAAGTCACTGGGTCTGGGACTCAAACTATGGTCAGCCACATGGGAGTCCTTTGCCTTAATCACTCCCTCACCTGCTAGCTCCTGGAAGTAATTAAGAGCTGAAAAAAAACTGATGATTAATAGCACTTGCTTAAGCTCAGCATCCCTGTTTAAAATAAATTCGTTTCTTATTCCTTAGCTTCATGGTGACATAGTCGGTATCTTTTTAAAGACGTCAATAAACTGTAACAGATAGGTTTTCTGTCTCATGTGTTACGTCATCAGAGAGTCATGACATTTTTCTATGCAAAAATGCATCATGACTTTCTGACAACCCAATAGTATTCTGTGAATGGATCTCATACTTCCCGCCCTGGATAAAAAACAAAGTACAGAAGTAAACAGCACCAGAAAATAGATGTGAGAGGTGGAATTAGAAATGGGGATGCGTCTGTGGTTTTACGTGATAATAAAGCTTTCCTCCCTTTTGCTAAAGACGGAAGAGTAGGCTGAATTTCTGACTTTTACCTGTGGATTTTCTTGTCTAGCACATCAGAATTCAGTTAATCTTTACCAAATTTAATTGAATTTTAATTTACTCTCCTTGAGCAGGCCTCATGTTCAGTATTTTAATTTCCTTCTGGAGCATGTTTTCAACATACTAAAATTATAAAAAAAAAAAAGTAGAGGAGACCTGCACTGAACAGGTTTTAAGTGTTGTAAAACTACTATTTTGGTCAGTGAAATCAACTATAAACTAATGTGCTTTGTTTTCCTGGGGAGTAATCAAAATACATCCGAAGTTGATTATATTTTCCACATTAAAATTGAATAATAATTATTATTTCTGATTGTTGGTGATAAAGATGAAGAGACCAATTAATCTGCTTTGATTAAACTTAGTACTCAATTTGGCAACCGTTAATTTTGTAAATTTTGTGCAGCCATTCGGATTGGGAAGATTGACTTATTCTGACATAATAAGGCATTTAAAATAAACCAGTATCAGTCCGTGCCCACGCGCGTGTGGCTTGCCGGGTGCACTAGACCTGGGAACCACACTCTGCCCAGTTAATGTGTTTGGCAGCACGAAGCTGTGATGGAATGTTAATGTCAGCACCCTCTTTATTTAGCACCAAGGAAGGGTAGTAATTAACACTCGGACACTCCCCCGCTGATGTGTAATTGACTGTTGCAAAGGAGCACTGGCTCATAAGCTAGTGCACGCATCCAAATTGCGTTTTCTGTACTGCAGCATTTTAAGACGGGTCAGTGACAATGCAGAAATTGCTCAATGATGCACATTTTTTTATTACTGCATTAAGGTTTTGACATATTAGTAATGAATAAATGTTTCCATAAAATTAGATTTTTTATAACTTTAGAGTTGAAATATGATACCAGCACTGTGACTTCAGACAAGGAGAGTCCTCGAGGCTTCTGGTTTGGTTCTTTGTTTCAGAGTAGTGACTTCCAACGTCAGTGTGATGTGCTTAATATCAATTAGATGCAGGTTTCCATGTGGAAAATAAATAATGCTTTTATGTAATTCATTCTAGTAAAAATCTTTCTCTGACAAGTTTTTAATACATGATAAGCTTGTAGCTTCAGAGTTGTAATAGATTTCATTTGAAGAGTATAATCACATTTTAGAAATCTCAGGAGTTGCTTCATTTTCATGTATTGAAAGAATTGTCCACGCCTGTGGAACTGGGAGCATGAAGACATTTTTGAGACTTATTACTACTTATTCTCAGATACAGAAAATTCATAGCATTGCCAATTTATTGAGTTGCCTTTTGTTTCTTGAACATCTGTGCAAATTAATGCTCTTTCATTAGAAATGTGTTTAAGCTACTTTGGGGGAGCCATTTTATTAAATGTCTCTATTTTCGGTTGTAGATGTATTAGATGTGCAGCTGCAAGTCTGGTTACAGATGTGTCCATTTCCACAGGTGGCATGAGTTTGTCACAACATTTCTTTGTATTAACACCGACACTGTGGGCCACCAACAGCATTACCTGGTGTCAGCAGAATTGCCCTAACATGTCCACGTGTAACCTGGTGTTATCCACTTGTACCTCTGGCTTCGGAAAGTTAATCAGCATCTAATTTGCATTTGTTAATTAGGGTTAATGTGCACTAATTGATTTTTTGATGCTTGTAGGCTTCCATTAAACCCAGTTAGCAATACTTGTGTACCTCATTCATTTGAGTTATGATGATCATGTTTTTGTTGAATCTGTGCCAAATAGGAAACCTGTGTCGTAATTACAGCTAATTAAGAGATGATCATGCTCTACATTAATGGGCTTTCCTAGTCTTCCACTGATACATGAATGTTGTAAATTTCAAATTTATGGCATGCTTACAAAACTTTTTTGAGTGTGCAAACTTGGAGATTCTGATTTTTTTTTTTTTTTTTTTGAGAGGTTTTTGCTATAGGGCGCATGTGCTCGCCAGACAGACAGAGAGAGACATAGAGACAGAAAGCAAGAAATCACCCCCCAGAGGGGATGGTCACACCACAATCCCTTCTCCTCTCAGGATCTTGGGCACGCACACACACGTGCCTGGTGTGAGTTTTAAGCCACTGGGTCCGGGATGCGAACTGCGGTTGACTATGTGGGAGTCCAGCGACATAGCCATTACACTAACTGCTGGTTCCTGAGATTCTGAATTTCCAGAGGGCACATGATTGCCATTGCTAAGTTTGTGTAATGTGAAAGTTTAGAGAAAAGGAATGCATAAATAGATCTAGATTCGCTTTAGAAATGTTTTTAAAATGATAGGTTAGCATAACAAGTATATATATTACATCTATATGTGTGTGTGTATTGTAATTCTGCTTCTTCCCGGGACCAGGTCATTATTTGGGTATGTAGGCTTTGCAAATATGCATCCTGTACGTAACCCGTTATCTTGAAAATGAACCTCTGTTCCAGGTCTCACTGCCACTGTGTGACTGCCGATCAGTCGTGTCATCTCTTAGCTCACTGTGTTTTTTCTTCTCTTTTCCTTTTTATGCAGAGAGGCAGGCATCTTCAGTAGGGTTTCATACCACGATCCCTCCCGCCACTTCACCCAGGTGGGATCGCGGTGTGTGCACCCAGCGTGTACAGGCTGACTTGGGAGCAGCCACACCCCAAGCTGTCAGAGGCTTTTGAGTCTGGGTCTTCAGTTTTGTTTTTTAAAGTGAAAGTACTAGGACTAGGTTGGTAAGTTTCCTTCTAGAAGTTGAGTTTGTGATTTGAGTAATTATATGTTTTATTAGAAATCATAATATGAAAACTGAATTATTTGTATGATTTTTTACTTTTTCTTTATAAAGACCAAGTGTCACTGTCGGGTTTTATCTAGTGCTAACCATACTGGGCCTGTAACTGCCAAATGACAAACACACTTTGGCAGTTTGAAGTTTTAATCTAAAGTGACCCAACGGGAAAGGCAGTGTGTCCCTAACTGGTTATGGGCAGGAAGGTGTAACCTCTCCATGTAGTGGTGACAATTCACAGTGAGCAGGGGCAGGCCCTGTGTGTTGAGATGAGGAGTTATGAGTGAAAATAAGCTTAGGTGTTTGATTAAATAGAAAATGTTCTTATGAAATGTAATTTCTATGTTTATCTCCTAAAATGTATAAATATAAAAGGTGTAAGGTGTATAAAACCTTTAGAGCCTGTCACCCACGGCACTGTAGCAGTAATAAAGGCGTGTAGCTCTAGAAGGATAAGGTCGATGCTCTAACTTCATGACGGGTCGGCTTACGGCCGCACATATAGGAAGCGTCATCACAGTGTTACCCTGTATGTGCCTGAACATGGCGACTTGCACAGAGTAACGCACAGCTCTCTGGTTAGAAAGGCTGCTCATCATGCTTCACTGTCACGTTCCTCAGGCCTGCTGCATGAACAGAATATGGCCAAAATGAGACTGCTTACTTTTATGGGAATGGCTGTGGAAAACAAAGAAATTTCTTTTGATACGATGCAGCAAGAACTTCAGATTGGAGCTGATGACGTCGAGGCATTTGTTATTGATGGTAAATCTAATAGAACCTGTTTATATCTACAATTTCTCTTCTGTGTGGAAAGCAGTAACATTTCTCTCTTGAAACCAAGCCTTATGCTAATAGAGCTAGGTCCTTTGTATAGATGTCTTTGTTTGGCAGATAAGCAGGTATGCAGGGGTCTTCAAAAATTCATGGAAAATGCATGTTAGGAAAAACTATATAGGTTTAAAATTTTATTTGCACCAAAATAAACTCGTGCTTTAATTCCATTTTCTGTGAATTTTCTTAAGTACCCTTGTATTTGTAGTAAAGTAAAAATCAATGAAAATAAGTTACTAGGTGTTTTTGGTGTATTTTCTCTCCTTTGAGATCACAGGCAGCGATCTTTATGCAGCCTATTATACATCACGGTTAAGAGCTCAGACTTGAAGATCACATAGCTTAGGACCAGGTCTTCCTCTGAACAGGAAGGTCTGAGTTCATCCAGAACAGCCTGCGAGAGTGCTTCTGTGCTTCTGAGGGTGAAGCGAATTGACGGGGGAAAGCCTAGTGCCTGCAGTAGCAGATGGCCTGCGAGTGTCAACATTACCAGTGTTTCGTTAGTCTAGAGATGGGATGTACTTCCCCAGTAGTTGCATTTTTAAGTGACTTAACTTTATCTGGATTTTTTCTGAGCTTTTTAAGCCTGAAAGCTGGGGGATTGTATAATTAAGATGAATAAAATGTACAGAACTATTGGCATGGTTTCTTGTGTGATCTTAAGCCTCCAACAGTCCTACAAGGAAATAGCATCTCATTAGGAAATTAGTTCCCCCCCTCCCCAAATGTGATTTTAGGGGAGAACATCTAGAGTTTTAAAAAACTGGGTAACATTGATTTAATCTAGATCGGCCCAGCAGCCACAGGGTAAATGCATGGCCGCCTTCCTCTGGGTGGTATCATATTGCTTTGTTTATTGGATTGAAACAGCCAGTTTGTTAAAATAATGCTGGAGAAACTGTAAGGTTTTGTAGTCAGTTGGTCACATCTTAGTTGTTTTTCTTGGAAATTGTCCTAATAACATATCATGTAAAAATCTTTTTTCAGCGGTAAGAACTAAAATGGTCTACTGCAAAATTGATCAAACCCAGCGAAAAGTAGTTGTCAGGTGAGACATTCACTATTTTGCAGCATTTTGTAGGACAGTTTCATTTGTTCCAATTATTTCATTTAAATGTTTAGAGAACCAAGGTGGAGTGCGTATCAGTTGACTGTAGTTAAATAGTTGCTATTTATCATAATTTTATTAAAGTTCAGACTGAATGTGATTAGCTTATTTAATGAAAGAGTCCTATTTTCCAGCACATTTCATTTAATGGCTGAGCATTGGCTAGAATACTAATGACTTTTACATCTGCTTTATATAGTTCAAGAGAATTGAAGGTTCAGGATCTTTATGGTAAAGATTTAAAAAAAAAAAAAATTGATCCTTAAAATTCTCTCAGAATTCCAAATTACGTCTTCTGTGCATATTTAGCCTTGCTTTTAGCCAGATTCAAGTGTGCAGTATGAGTAAAGAGCAGCAATGGCTGAAAGGCTGATTAACCCTTTGTCTTTATTTTTCCATTTTAGTCATAGCACACACCGGACATTCGGGAAACAACAGTGGCAGCAACTGTATGACACACTCAATGCCTGGAAGCAGAACTTGAACAAAGTGAAGAACAGCCTTCTGAGTCTTTCTGATACCTGAGTTGTTAGGTGTTTAATTTTGTTCATTTGGGAGGGGAAAACCCCAAATCACAGTAAAATGTTATGAACTAAAACTTGCCTAGTCTGGACATTTATCATCTCAAAAAGTAAAATCAAATTCCAGGGGATACGAAGTAATTGCTGGTGAAGGGCTGCTGGGTAAGTTCTGTTCTGTAAGGACAGAAGGGCCCCACTTTGAAGAAAGGCTCTACAAAGGGAAGACAAATTTAAAGGGGAATAATTGGGTGCTGACGGCAAGCTATAATTACAGGGCAGCTATCTTAAATGACGCGTTTGCAGAGCAGATACAAAACAGTAACATCAGGCAGTCTGGAAGAATGAGGACAGTTGTGAAACTTAAGGTGTACTGCAAGTCATTTCGTTCTAGTAGAAACAGTATTTTGGTGCATGGTTCACCACTGCAGGCATTAATCTGTCTTTTCCAACATCTCTTCTGCTTTTCTTTTTTTAGGTTGGTTGTCGTTTTCTAAGCTTAAGAACTTTTCGATTTCATTTATTTCTTTTGTTAGGAGGCTCTGCCAGTCGTCTTCACAGGGAGAAGAGGCAGCCAGATCAGTAACGGCTTCAAACTTGGTTGCCTGCAAGTGGCTTTGTAACAGAGTAGACTTCACAGGCTTTGTTTGCACCTAGGAAAGATCAGACTTGTTTTACCATTGAAATGACTGTACAAAAGGCTATAAATAAAATCCATTAAGCCTCTGCAGTCACAGTATGTGATAAATGTACCATCTTTTTGGCTGATTTCCAACTGCCTTACTACTTTTGATAACAAATCTATACAATTGTCATTTTGTAGGCTTATGTAGTAGCTCTTCAAAGTCTCTGACGTATTCCAGGGATAACCACAGATGGTTTCTAAAAGGTTTGGAGCTTACACTGAGATAAAAGACAATTAAAACAATGCAGATAAAAATCTATTTGTCTTCTGCTCCCTTCCCACACAAGCCTTTGTTTTCAAAGCTAGATGAAAATTAAAAATGTGACCGGAAATAAGCTACAGAAACTGCCTTTGCCTTGGGTCCCCTTCCCACTTGAGCACCATTGTTGAAGAGCAGGAAGGAGCATTGAGGGCTTGGAAGCTGGCATGTTTCCAAGGCACTGCGTTGGGCACACTCAGCATGCTGTGTTCTTAAAAAAGAACTTTTAAGATATTTTTCTGATAACAAAATACTTGCTGTAAATTTAGGAAATGAAGAAAAGTATAAAAGTGAAAATCATCAGTAACCCGTTACCCAGCAATACCTGTCAACATTGATACTGTTTGCTGTTAAGTCCATTTTGGCATATTTGCTCATTCTAAAGAATTTTATTTCTTGTTTTTTCCTCTGAGCAGTTTCCTAGGTCACTGAAATTTTTATTAACAATTGTCAGCATCTACTAAGTACTCCCTGTTACGGATGTGTGATGATTTAACTATCTCCT